CAGTAGGTGACGCTTGTTCGCTCTCATTGGCTATCGCGGGTATCACGTCAGAGGCAGCCCGGTAAATAACAAACATGTTTGATATATTTACCATTTGAGTTCGGGGACGCTCCGTCTCGATCGGGAGCAGATAAATAATCATAATGACACCACACAATAGAGGATTTTTTGGACAAAAAATCGTTTGCGACAAGCCGCGAATCGGGCCACATCCCCCCCCCAAATCGGGCTTAAAATCGGCCTTAAAATCGGCTAGTGTGCGCCAGCCTAAAGGCAGCATTGGATCTCTGGGCTGTAGAGGTTTTTAGCTTTCGCTCTGGCTGTCCTCATCAAACAAAGCCAGGGTGGTATGGCCTAGAGGGTTGTAGACGATGCCTTCCACCTCTCCGCCACCATTGGCCGTCTTCTGGAAGTGGATCTCCAGGTTGTCCTGCAGGTTATCTTTGTCCATGATGTCAGGGATGCCAGTCAGCAGCACTGTGCGCATGCACTCTGAGTCACAGATCTGAAAGGGAGCAACAGTCAGCTTACATCATAAACTATGCAGCATTAACAGTTGAATTTATTGCGACATACTCGATTCTTCTTACCTTCATCTGTGAAATCTCACCATTGAGGAATGGAGTGACCTTCACCTTGTGCTTCTTCTTACCAAAGTCTACATCATGATCTTGTTTGTCGGAGAGACCTTTGGCAACTGAAGACAAATAGAAACTAACAATTAAAAAAAAAACACCTCAAGCATCATGCACTGAGATGTGTCAGACTGAATGAATTTAGTTAACTTACTATTATCATCTACAAAGGTAATGACCACAGTGCCAGAGTCATGTAGCATGTCAGTGTCCTCCACCTCGCCACCTCCATTCCTCTTCCTAGAGAAATGGATGTCCAGTTTGTCTAGTACTCTCTCCTCGGGTTCTTCCTTTGGCAGGTTGGAGACTAGGATTCTGCGTGGGCACACCTGTGTTTCCATCTAACAGATGGAGAGAGAGCGTCGTTTTATATCACATTAGTCCATAGGAACACAATGCAATCCAAAATAAACAATCCATCTTGGTAAATGGAAGTCAGCTTGTCTCCATTACCTCAACATTGCTGGGTACCAGGAATTGAATGGGTTTTGCCTGCACATTGATGGTACAGTCTCCAAGTTGCACCGAATGATCCTTTAGGTTCAATATTTTCTGAGCCACTAAGATGTAGTATCAGAAGAGATTTGAAGAGAGGTTAAAGCAATAAGCCACAAGAGGCCCTGGTATGTGTTATAGTCATTTTAGTGTCTCAGTGTGAAAATCTATGGCAGTGGTTCATAACGGCCCAGACCCACTAGGGGTACTCGGCAAACTTCCAACGGGGCCTCAAGATAAAATTACTTAAGACATAATATTAAAAACAAAGATACTTTTCTTATTTTATTTTAATCCCTCAACAATTAATTTTTCTTCTTTGAAGAGCCAAGGTTTCTACAGACTTAGAAAACCTGAATATATGAGGAAGCCTAATTATAAAAGTGTGATTTCTAAAGCAAAAGAAAAATCTATAAAATCTTAAAAAGGGATGCCATTTTTATAATGTATATATTATATATAATGTATTTTTTTGTGTTTATTAGGTCAAATCTTGAGTAAAAAATATATTCATATAAAAATAAAAAAATTATCTTTTTCTAGTACATTACGAACAACTAGAAGACTGCATTGGTTGAAAAGAATTGGATCACTAAAACTTAAACTACATTATTTAATTTTTTTATTTTAATTATAATTATTTTAGTTACTTTCAGTTATTAATTTAAAGAAACAAAGAGTGGCCATGTGTTAAAATAAGTTAAGAGTGGGCCTTCAAATAACAACGCAGTGCTTTGCAGTCAGTGTTGTTTCTGACGCAAAAGCCTTTTATTGTATGTTCAAAAACAGTAGAAAAACTCCTTAAAATATATTATTGTGTGTTCCGCAGAAGAAAAAAAGTCATACAGGTTTGGAATGGCGTGAGTAAATTATGACGAATTGTTCTTTATCACAGGTGAACCTTTAAGCACTTTTGACATTGTTTTTTATTGTGATGATGCTAGTTTGGACAATTACATACCATCCTTTTCCTCAAAGGTGATCAGTGCTGTTCCACCCTCCATCGGATAAACTATTCGGGGATTCACATCAAAACCCACAGCATGGGCTCCCTCTTTTGTATTTCCCCGAAACACAACCTTCCTTTCAGGCACCGCTGTAGAGATCTGTGGAGTCAGTGTAGAGCCTCGTTAATAATCTCACAGTTCCATGGATTTTATTTAAAATAAACATTGCGACTTTAGGTTCAAATTTACATGAATATAAGGGTAATATAGTTTATATGTTTAGATTATTAGAAATATATGTTTAGATTATTACTAAAAAATATTTCAACATATTGTACTGATATACTGTAGAGTCACACAGCCCATTCAGTGCAATGGTTGCAGCTAAAATAAGCGTGAATATATTTATTTTGACACTTTTAAACCTCAGTTTGCTTTTTCAGACTGCTGTTTTTACGGTCCAGGCTTTGCATCTCCTCCTTTATTTTCAGGATCTCCTCCTGCAGCTTGGTGTTCTCCTCCTGTACAGCTCTGCATTTCTCCTGCACCGAGGAACCCATTACCACATTTTAAAAAAAATGTCTTTAAATTAAGGGATATAATGAGTGTCTGGTCATTTTTTTTACGGACCTTCTCTTTCTGAGTTGTCTTAGTACGTTTCTTGTTTTCTTCTTCACATAACGCTTTCTTTTCATTAGCTCGTTGTTTAAATTCCTTGGCATAGTATTTGTTGGTATCTATGCCATCTCTCAGTATTTGCTGTTCCTTCAGTATTGCTTCATATTGTGCCTGTGGACAGATGAGATGACATAATGATTAATAGGCCTAACTTGTATTCTGGTTGACAGGTACTTTACAAGCCATTTACACACCTTGTATTTGTTGATCTCCAGTACACTGTCCTGACATCTCAAAGACTCACCGTCTGTAACAATGCTGAAATCCTAAATGGACAAACAGGGTCATTGTACTGAATAGAGAGTCGAATGCCAAAAAAAAAAAGTCTTTACCAGAAGAACTTCCTTTACCTCAGCAGACATTTCTACCTACGAAAAGAACCTGTGAACAAACAGAAAGTACTGTTATCTAGGACAGAAGAGTTTATAATCTATATGACCACCTTGTTTTTCATCGAATAGAATATTTTTAACGTCTGAGCATAGCTGGTTATGTTTGGCTACTAAACTTAAGCTTTAGTAGGCCTATGAACTACATGAAGTTCAACAGCATGTGTTGTTGACGTCGCCAAAAGCGCTATAAAACAATTTAAATGAAATATATTAGACACTTTATTAGGTGCCAGCATACACTTAGGCCTATTATTGTTCGTTTTTGAAAACAATGAGGAAAAATGCTGACATTACATTTTTCGCTTGCCTACGCTGCGTCTTACACGACTGCCTTTTTTAAACAAAACATCACACAATTAACTTTTTGTAACGCGTGTCGTTTAAACAATTGTATACCCTTTTTGTTGTGTCATGATCATTTATTTTGTGCATAGGCCTAATTATAAATATACCGATGAAACACTTACCGTGATGAAGCAAACAGTAGAAAGAGCAGTTTCGCTTTCGTTTCAGGGTATTAATCATTGAAAAATATATTTACAAGCTCTATTCACCAGGGGGTGGTGTTGATCAATAAGATCTTTCTTTAACAGTAGCCTATATCAGTAGCCTATTAATTTGCATATCAAAATTTACCTACAATAAATATGGATATTTGTTTAAAAAAATCTATAAGATTGATATTCAGTGTAGTAGGGGCACCAAATTATAGTTTGGGATTTTGTACCCGAAGTTGCAGGCTACAGGAAAACCAGGTTTCAGTTTTACGTTCAGGTTGTGCTGATGTTGCCATAAATTAAACGCTATTTTTCATTCTAAATAGAATATTTACATTAGGTTAATTTAACAGACTTTACATTATTAATTTATTCAAAGTGACTTACAAATGAGAGCAATAAAAAGTAAAAAGTAATTAGGGCGGTACGAATACCATGCAGCTTTTTTATTATATTTTATTTTAGTTTAGTTTAGTTTAGATTAGTTTAGTTTAGATTAAACTATTAACTAGTCATCTTGCCATGCACATTTCCAAGGAATCAAACACGGATGACACGCCTCCGTTACTGATAGACAGTTGCATTATCCAAAGGTTGCCCTCTAATATAGGCGGAGCTTGGCAGAACTCTACTTTTTAAGGGGCACACATTTATTAATTCAAGCACAGTGTGGAAACATTGCGAGGTGACAAGGTAGGTCTTGTATTTCCGTCGTTCGTCTCAGACACCCTTTGTGCTTTTTTAAACAGCATGGTAAAAGTTTTGTGCAAAAGTGCTTTGCTCATTGTGATTTATTATGCAGAATTAGACGTCACTCGTTGCTATAGCAGATTTTTTTCCTACAAGAAACGAACTCACTTTTATATAGCATATTGATGTAGTAAACTGTAAAAGAGAATTAAACGGAATGATGAATTTAATTAATTAATTAATTTTTGTATTATTTTATTTTTATCTAAAACATTTATGTCTGCTCACAGATCGGTAACTTGGAGCCCACGGATCCACGGACTGGTCATTCACCTTCAGCCGTTTACAAATCCACCTGTTCATTTAACAATTAATAGTAAGTTGAATTGAAGTGCATCCTCTCTCTTTCTTTTACTTCAGAAGAGATTACATTTTTCTTTATGAAATTAATGGATTATTAATTTAAGCATTATGCTCAGTGAGAAGCAGCAACTGAAAATGAATCAGTGACTAAAAAAAAAGGTAAATACCACATTCACAGTTTCCCCTGTTTGCTGCCATAGAAGCCTAGGTACTAAAACCAGTTTATCAGTCGCAATGTGGGTTGGCATTCATAAGGGGGAATTTCTTGTGTCAAGAAAAGGAAATAAAACTGCACAGTTTTAATTGACTGATGCCCTGGTTTGCCCTCAGTCAGAAATAAGAAAAAAAATAAATAATAATAATAAATAAAGACACTCAACTGTCTAACAAAATTTATTTTACTGACTTTGAGCCACTTTCTCTGAGACATGTATAATCTTGAGTTTCAGTTATTGTTTCTAAGGTCAGCATAGTTGCTCTGGTAAGCTTTTGCTTCAAATTTCTAGATGTGAAAGAGGAAGTGATACAAGAATTAAAATGATATACGTGCACTGTTATTGCTCAACAAAAGAGGAGACAGTGAATTATACATCTGAAAAGGTTTGTTAAATTGCAACCCTGCATCTGAGATATAAAGGTCTGATGGGTTACAATGAAAGTTTGTATCATTTTCCGCTAAAACATATCAGACACATTTCATATTTCAAATCTGTTACTTTTAATGTGTTAACTCTATCTCTTTCCATCCAGATGTTGAAAGTGACATTAGGCCTCGCTCTGGTGACTCTGGTTGCTTGCTCGCAGTGCCCCAACAATGAAGTGTGTGAGGCAGGCCAGACATGCTGCCAGGATCTCACCGGAGAGTTCAGCTGCTGCCCTTTCCATCACGTGAGAGACCGAACTAGTGACAGATACATAAAGACAGTTTCATTTCAGAGTATTAGTGTCAGGTACTCATTTATAAATACAATAAAGGTTGTAGAAATCAGTTCAGATCGAGAAGATAAACTGCACAATGATATGGAACTTAACTTAGTGCTCTGCGGTTACTCGTTTTTTATGCTCTCTCAGATATTCCTCAATAGCACCCTTTTTGACACACATTCACACTGTCAGCTCTTGTAATAAGGGATATGATAAGGCACCTATATAGCATCAACATGCAAATCACTCTTTGATGACTTTGCTATTCAAAGAGCGCAAAGAAATGAAGCTGTAATCAGGAGGTTGTCTGTCAAATGTCCAGCTTCTGTATTGCTGAATCAGCTCATGCATGCGTAAAATTGTGTGTGTGTGTGTGTGTGTGTGTGTAGGGAGAGTGTTGTGAGGACCACCTGCACTGCTGTCCTGAAGACATGTTGTGCAGTGTTATGGACTCCATGTGTATAAACGCCACACATACACTGCTGTTTGTGGAGAGGATACCGGCTAAACAGACAGACCTTCCCAAAGTGAGAAATTATACAGTCTAAAAAAAGAGTACTCAGAGCTGCTTGTTATGTCTGAAATGGATAGTTTACCCAAAAATGAAAATTCTGTCATCATTTACTTTACTTTATTTTACATTAGCCTCATAAAAAGTAGATATTTTGAAGAATGTTGGTAACCAAAAAGATGGAAGCCACTGAGTATTTTTTTCAGTCAATGGCTACCATCAACTGTTTGGTGACCAACCTTCTTTAAAATATCCTCTTTTGTGTTCAACAGAAGAAACAAACTGATACAGGTTTGGAACAACATGAGGCTGAGTAAATGATGACATAATTTTCATTTTTGGGTGAACTATTCCTTTAACAATCCCCATTCCTCAGTCGTTCAGAATGATTCCCTCATTACCTGCAAGTGAAGACGACATCACCTGTCCTGATGGCTCCTTCTGTCCTGCTGAGTTCTCCTGTCTGCTGATGGCTTCATCATATGGGTGCTGTCCTGTAGCACAGGTAAGTTACATTATTACAGGAACCTGGGCCCAAACCACTAGCTCCTAGTCCATGACAGGGTGTATTGAAAGGCCTCTCACCTGGTCACAAAAGAAGCGTGGTGTTGCTAAAACATAGACCCCTTGGAGATATACTCTTTTCTATTCTTTTTTTGTTTTATAAGAATATATGCTATATAGTATATATAAGAATATATACAATGTTTCTCTTTTTCAGGGCCTTGTGTGCTCAGACGGGAAACACTGCTGCCCAAAAGACCATGAATGCAGTGCAGACAGCAGTTCCTGTGTCAAACTAAAAGGTATGGAAGATGTGGACTAGAGTGTTTCATGATTAAAACATCCTTTTTTTAAAGGAGATCCCATATAAATTTATAATGGGTTAACGGAGAGATTTACTGTATTAATTTGGATAGGATATACGTGCAGCTCATGGTGTTGTCATGTGATTGTTTGTAGAACCAGTCAAGGCTGTTCTTTGTGGAAATGGGACCTCAGAGTGTCCCGTAGACACCACATGTTGTGAGACAGAAGATGGTCAGTGGGCGTGCTGCCCCATGCCAAAGGTATTGGCCAAGTTGAAATACAGTAATATGTGCACTGCAGAGACATGTTGTCATAGAGCTCTCAGTTCAGAAAGCTGTTTTTTCACAATCGGAGAAACATATTTAAATGAATGTACATTTTGAAACTAAATTTTCTTCTTTATTTTAAAATAAAAACACTTTTTTAATATTTATTCGTCATAACTAGTGTACTTTTGTGATATATTTTAACTTAGATGTACTTTATTCTTGTGATGGCAAAGGTGAATTTTCCTTACCACAGTCTTTAGTGTCACATGAGCCTTGAGAAACCATTGTAATATGTGACCCTGGAATTAGTAATATGCTTTGCTGAGAACTTCATTTGGACAACTTCAAGGCGATTTTCTCAATATTTAGATTTTTTTGCACCCTCAGATTCCAGATCTTCAAATAGTTGTATCTCTGCCAAATATTCTCCTATCCTAACAAACCATACATCAATGGAAAGCTTATGTATTCATAAATTGACCCATATGACTGGTTTTGTGGTCCAGGGTCACATATGCTGATTTAATTACTGTCAATGATAAAGACAGCTGTGCTGCTTAATACTTTTGTGGAAACTGTGATTCTTTGATGAATATAAAGTTCAAAAGAGCAGCATTTATTTGAAAATAATTTTTAATAACGATATAAAAGCCTCTCCTGTCACTTTTGATCCAATTCAAGGATCCTTGCTGAATAAACATTTCGTAATTTGTTCATGAATGTTTTTTTTCACTTGCATTCTTTCCTCTGTCTTTTTTGGTTTCTGTAGGCTGTATGTTGTGACGATAAAATCCACTGTTGTCCAGAGGACAGTGTCTGTGATGTTGAAGGCTCCAAATGTATGTCCTCCACCAATCAGGAGCTGCCTATGTGGGCCAAATTCCCTGCACGTCTTAGAGCTGAATGGGAAGATCACAAATGTAGGCTATTATCCCAGAGAGTTATTAATTCTCTGATAACTTCCTCCAATGCAGTTCAGCATTTTCATATCTTTGCCCTTATTCTTCAAAAGCTGCAGAAATGAGGGCTGAAGCTGAACTCACTACAACCAGACAGATCACTACTGCTGGCAAGCAAATGACTACATTGCCTGGTGCACTACCAAAGAGTATGTGCAAATTTGTAGATGACAATACATACATGTTTTATATGTGCACATAAATAATAACACTTCTCAAACTGTTTCTGTCATTGCCTTCTTTATATTCAGCCTCTGATGTTCCCTGCAATGACACTGTGGCCTGTCCTGATGGAACCACATGCTGCAAGACTAAAGAAGGAGGATGGGCCTGCTGTCCTCTGCCAGAGGTAATTCACCTCACCTGATCTACTACTTTAGCAGAATCAGTGCATTGTACCCTATGGACACTTAGCTCAGCCATTACATTTCACCAAGAACTTCTCTCTACTGTTTGCACTGGGGATGCCTGGGGGTCCTCAGGTTTTTTTTATTTTTATTTTTGGCATTTTGCCTTTTATTACAATAGGACAGTAGGTAGACAGGAAGCAAAGTGGGAGGGATGGGATCAGGAAAGGTCCACGAGCTGGGACTCAATCTCTGGACACCTGATATGGGGTTATATGCATCACAAGGTCCACAGACAATTTAAGAAAAAACAGATGTAGGTTGTAAAAGTATTTATTTGTTTTAAAAGTGACACATCTAACATAAATATATATTTTAGATAATATTTTAATAATTTGACCATATGCATGTCTATTCAGAAGTTTGTATTGTTTTTTTTTTGTTGGCAGATTTATCTTATGCTCACCAATGCTGCATTTATGTAATCAAAAAACACAGTTTGGGTTTTTATGAAATATTAATACAATTTAATGTAACTTATTTCTATTTTCATAAATTTTAAAATGTAATTTATTCCTGAGATGGCAAAGCTGAATTTTAAGCATCATTACTCCAGTCTTCAGTGTCACAAATCATTCTAGTATGATGATTTGCTGCTCAAGAAACATTTCTTATGATTATCGATGTAGAAAACAGCTGTGTTGCTTAATATTTTTGTGGAAACATGATACTTATTTCAGGATTCTTTGATGAATAAAAAACTGAGAGGACAGCATTTAATTTCAAATAGAAATATTTTGTAATATTATGAATGCGTTTACTGTGACTTTTGATCTTTTGATTGAATTTAATGCATTTTTGCTCAATAAAATTAATAATTTCCTAACATATTTTATTGACCCCAAACTTTTAAACTATAGTGTAAATGTAATATATTTAAAATAAACATTTTTGTTTCCATAATATTATTCTTAAGAGTTTTTTCCCCAAACAGCTTAAATAGGTCTTTACATATTTTTATATTTTAAGGAGTCATCAATTTTAGGGTCCCAGGGCAGCAAAAAGTTTAAAATCCTCTTTCTTGAATTATAAATAACTGGAAAATTCTGTAACAAAAACATACACATGGTATTCCAGAGGATTTTGGATGTAAGACAATTATATTATTTGGTTACACTTTACTTGAAGGGGTGTGCATAAGACTGACATGACACCTTCATAATCATGACATGACACATGTCATGAATATGAAGGTTTTTTATGCATGTTTATGACAACTGTCATTAAGTGTCATTCGCTCAGTTATGTAATTTTTAATGCAAAGATGACATTGTTTGAGATGTCTTTGTTATGGGCTATGGTTAGGGGTAAGGGTAGGGGTAGGGTTAGGTTAGGGTTAGGTCAAATAATGTCATATTTGCATTAAAAATGACATAACTGAGCGAATGACACTTAATGACAGTTGTCATAAACATGCATAAAACCTCCTTCATATTCATGACATGTGTCATGTCATGATTATGAAGGTGTCATGTCAGTCTTATGCACACCCCTTCAAGTAAAGTGTTACCTATTATTCTTTTTTATTTCTTAGAAATACCTGGAAATACCTTGATATATAGATATGGTAAACATCCAGCACCATGAAACAGTTCTGTTTTTTGTAAGTATTAAAATTTTGTGTACTAAGTTAAAGGAACATCTTAACTTTGTTCTGTAGGCCGTTTGTTGTGACGACTTCATCCACTGCTGTCCTCATGGTAAGAAGTGTAACGTTGCTGCTGGGACGTGTGAGGACCTTTCATGTTCTGGTGTGCCCTGGGTGGAACAGGTGCCTGTGCAGCCAATCATCAGTCAAGACAAACAAAGTAAGTCAACAAACACTCCAAAGCCCTGAAACCGAACACACAAGTACACATTTAACATAAAACTCTGATTACTCTCTGTACCTTCAGCCTCTGATGTTCCCTGCAATGACACTGCGGCCTGTCCTGATGGAACCACATGCTGTAAGACTAAAGAAGGAGGATGGGCCTGCTGTCCTCTGCCAGAGGTAATTCACCCACTGAATATAACCAATCCTGATGTAGAGTTGTGTTTTGCATTAAGTTAAAGGTGTACATTCATTTTTTTCAATAGGCCGTGTGTTGTGACGACTTCATCCACTGCTGTCCTCATGGTACGACATGTAACGTTGCTGCTGGGTCTTGTGACGAACTTTCAGGCTCTAAGCCTTGGTTCGAGAAGCTGCCTGTCAAACCGATCAGCAGTCAGAATGTGGCTGTTACACAAGGTAGATCAAAGCTCTGAATACAGCACACACAGACACGGTATAAAACTAGCATTTTATTTAACTGTTTATAAAATTTCTGGTGTCTTCAGTGCATTCAGATGTTCCCTGCAATGACACTGCGGCCTGTCCTGATGGAACCACATGCTGCAAGACTAAAGAAGGAGGATGGGCCTGCTGTCCTCTGCCAGAGGTAATTCACCCACGGACAAGTAGCTTGACCATTATATCTGTCAGAGCCGAGGCTCGAACTCGGGTCTCTGGTGTGAAAGTCAGATACTCAGTCCTTGAGCCTCTGGAGGATGGAGAACCCAATAGTAAGACGCACTTAGAATCAGTTGAGATGCAGCAGGTTTAATGAAAGTTCAAGCAAAAAAAAATCCACAGCAGAAACAGAGAAATCAGTTCTCAAATAACAGTCTAAAAAACAGTCCAAAGATTGATGGAAAGAAGTCCACAAAAATATTCCAGAAATCCAAAGTTCTTAAAGCAAAAACACTCCAGAGGAGAAAATAGACAAAAATCCAACACAGAGAGGAAACAATCAAAGGGCAAACATTATAAGAAGCCACAGATTTCTCAGACTACATAACACTTACTCAGGCAGCTGTCTTAGAAGAACTAAACACCAAGCAAATAAACTGAGAGACAGCGCCACTTAAATACACACAGCTAAATGGTACACATGTGAACAGAATAACACTAATTACAAGTAGAGTAAGCTAAACAAGAGAGCACCATGAGGACCTCTAGAGGCCAAAACACTATGACAGATTGAGAGAGAAAGCCAAAAATACTGACAAGACCCCTCCCCCTAGGAACGGCTCCTCAGGGCCATAGCCCTCCCAGTCCACAAGATACTGAAGTGATCCTCGCACCCGACGGGAATCCAGTATTCAGTGGACTGTGTAGGCAGGCTGGCCTCCAATAATGCGAGGAGGAGGGTGAGGTCTACCTGCCGGAGTGAAAGGAGAAGACAAAACAGGTTTTAGAAGGGAGACATGAAAGGTCGGATTAATCTTTAAAGATCTAGGTAAATATAAACGATAAATAACATGGTTCACTTTTCTTGCCACTCTGAAAGTCCAGATGAAGCGCTGGGAGAGCTTGCGGGACTCAACTCGTAAGGGCAAGTTTTTTGTGGAGAGCCAAACTCTCTGACCGGGACGCAGTATGGGAGCAGGTCTGCGCCTACGATTAGCCTGTCGCTGATATTGCTGAGAGACTCTGAGAAGCTTGTGTCGAGCCTTCTTCCATGTCAGGCGACAGTGTCGGATGAACTGCAGTACGGAGGGAACTTCAACTTCTTGTTCAGGGAACAATGGAGGAGCATAACCAAACTGGCATTCAAAGGGAGACATGCCCGTTGCAGAGGAGCATAGAGTGTTGTGTGCATACTCCGCCCACATAATGAAGGATGACCAAGAGGTTGGATTGTTGGCAGCCATGCACCTCAGAGTAGTTTCCAGATCCTGATTTAATCTCTCTGTTTATCCAGAGGATAGGCTCACTGTCACCCCCAAAAGTTGACAGAATGCCCGCCAGAATCGAGAGGAAAACTGAGGTCCTCGATCAGAGACAATGTCCTGAGGTATGCCAAAGACTTGAAAAACATGGTTAATGATCAACTCAGCAGTCTCTTTAGCAGTGGGCAACTTGGACAAGGGAATGAATCTGCCAGCCTTAGAAAATCTGTCAACAGTTACCATTATGGTAGTGTTGCCTTGGGATGGCGGGAGTCCAGTAATAAAATCCATGGAGAGGTGAGACCAGGGTCTTCGAGGTATAGAGAGAGGATGGAGCAAACCCTGAGGTGAACGATGAGAGACTTTCCCCTGACTGCATGTGGGACAGGCGGTTACAAAGCTTTTGGTGTCCTTGCTCCTTAATGGTCAGCCACCAAAATCGTCTCTGGAGGAATTCAAGGGTGCGTATTGTGCCTGAATGGCAGGTCAGACGAGAGGAGTGACCCCACTGGAGAACCTGGGAGCGAACTGATTTAGGGACAAACAAACAGTTGGTAGGCCCTCCACTTGGGTCTGGTTCCCGGACCTGGGCTTGTCTTATAGTATTTTCAAGTTCCCACCATACAGGGGCCACTATCTTGAAGCTCGGGATAATGGGAATGATAGGATCTCCTTGGTTACTACTTGTATATACTTGAGACTGAGCATCAGGTTTAAGATTTTTCGAGCCAGGACGGTAGGATAAAATAAACTGAAACCTGTTGAAGAATAGAGACCAGCGTGCCTGACGAGGGTTAAGTCACTTCGCCTGCTGAATATACTCCAGATTTTTATGGTCAGTGAGTACTTGAAATGGGTGTTTGGCCCCCTCAAGCCAATGTCTCTATTCTTCGAGTGCCAGTTTTACTGCCAGTAACTCTCAGTCACCCACGTGGTAATTCCTCTCCGTGGAGTTAGGCGGTGGGAAAGGAATGCACATGGTTGATATCCGTTATCCTCTCCCCTCTGGGAAAGCACTGCTCCAATACCCACATCTGAGGCATCCAACTCTACGACAAAGAGTTTGTCTGGGTCTGGGACAGTGAGAATGGGTGCTGAAGTGAAGCGGAGTTTGAGTTCCCTGAAGGCTGACTTTGCTTCAGGACACCAGCAAAAACTAGCATTCCTCCCCTTAGTAAGAGCAGATAGGGGAGCCACCACAGAGCTGAAGTTTAAAATGAATTTACGGTAAAAGTTGGAAAAACCAAGAAATCGCTGCACCTCCTTCACAGATGAGAGAGTGGGCCAATCCGTCACTGCTTGAACTTTCCGGGGATCCATCTGTACATGGCCAGGTGTAATTATGAATCCCAGGAACTGTACTTGAGTCACATGAAATTCACACTTCTCGGGCTTAACATAGAGGTGATTTTTCAAGGAGACAATTTAGCATCTTCTTGACATGCTCCACGTGCTCATTAGGGGAACTTGAAAAGATGAGAATATCATCCAGGTAGACGAATGCAAACTGATTGAGCATGTCCCTAAGAACATCATTTATCAAAGCCTGGAAGACTGCGGGAGCGTTGGTGAGGCCAAAGGGCATGACTAGGTAATCATAGTGCCCAGTGGGAGTGTTAAATGCAGTCTTCCCCTCATCCCTTTGTCTAATGTGCACTAGATGGTAAGCATTACGCAAGTCGAGTTTGGTGAAGATGGAAGCTCCCTGCAGTAACTCAAAGGCTGTGGCCATAAGCGGCAAGGGGTAACGGTTCTGTATAGTGATCTTGTTGAGCACTCGATAATCTATGCAGGGGCGAAGGCCCCCATCCTTTTTACCAACAAAGAAAAATCCGGCACCAGCAGGAGAATTGGACGGACGAATAATCCCTGCCGCAAGGGCTTCCTCAATGTAGTTGTCCATTGCTGCACGCTCGGGAGAAGAAAAAGAGAAAATGCGACCTCTGGGGGGACAGGTACTTGAAAGCAAGTCAATGGTGCAGTCAGATGGACGGTATGGGGGTAAAGACATGGCTTTCATTTTACTGAAGCCTGCCTTCAGATGGTGGTACTGAGTGGGGATTCGAGACAGGTCTAAGGGTTCTTGAGACTCGAGAGTAGAATAAGAGAAGATCTGGGTAAGACAGGTGGCATGACATGTGGGACCCCAACTGAGGATAGCACCAGTGGACCAGTCAAGATGGGGGTTATGTTGAAGAAGCCAGGGGTGACCGAGAATCACAGTAAACACTGGAGACCGTATCAGATGGAAACACAACTCTTCCTGGTGTTCATGAATGGAGAGGTGGAGGGGAGTCAGAAGGGACTTTGAAACTCCTAGCAAGTGAAAAATCCATAAAGTTCCCAGCTGCACCTGAATCCACCATGGCCTTGAGATGTTGCTTATGATTACCCCAAGCAAGTGTGATGGAGAGAAACAGTCCTGAATTGGAAGGTGGAGCAATGCTAGTAATTCCCGTTACAGTCCTTCCCTGCCTGTACGGGATCAAGCGTTTCCCGAGAGCTCTGGGCAGGCAGAACGGAAATGCCCAGGCAATCCACAGTACAGGCAACACCGCTTCTTCATGCTGCGGTCACGTTCCGACGGTCGAGATCAGAGTACCACTCAACTACATAGGTTCTGGTGACCCTTGGAACAGTGGTAACAGCTCTGTGGGAACTGGACTGACAGGGGGTGTAAACGCAAACTGGCGACACAAACTTCTTTCTCTCAGACGATTGTCGAGCTGGACCGCCAGGTCGATAAGGGCCTCAAGATCATTGGTAGGCTCTCGTGTGGCAAGTTCATCTTTGAGTGCCTCGGAAAGACCATTCTGGAAGCACACCACAAGAGACTCATTGTTCCAGCCACTCCCTGCTGCAATGGTATGAAAATGGATGGTATATTCAGCAGCACTGTGACTACCCTGCTGGAGGGACAGCAGTCGTTTAGACGCCTCAATGCCGCTGATGGGGTGATCAAAGACGCGCTTGAATTCCTCTTCAAATGCAGCATAACTTGCACAGAAAGGGGTCTGGGCCTCCCAAACTGCTGAAGCCCAGTAGAGGGCCTTACCAGAAAGGAGAGTAATGAGATATGCAATCTTGGCCCTATCTGAGGGGAAGGATGACGGCTGTAGCTTGAACGTTAGGGAACACTGAGTGAGGAATCCACGACAAGCACTGGGATCCCCAGAGAAGCTTTGTGGTGGAGGTTCTACTAGGGGAACTGACACTTGAGGACCTGGAAGAGGTACAGAAGCAGCAGCAGAGGCCGTAACTTGGGGAGATGGCAGCCGAACAAAGATCTGACGGATGGAGGTCATGACATCAGAAAGTAATTGTGAATGTCTTACCATCAATGCCTCCTGTTGGGCTAGCACAGTTTCATGACATTGAACTGAAGACTCTCTGGGTCCATAGTTTGGCTTGGTGTTTTTGTCAGAGCCGAGGCTCGAACTCGGGTCTCTGGTGTGAAAGTCAGACACTCAGTCCTTGAGCCACTGGAGGATGGAGAACTCAATAGTAAGACGCAGTTAAGATACAGCAGGTTTAATGAAAGTTCAAGCAACAAAATTCCACAGAAAAAACAGAAATCAGTTCTCAAATAACAAAAACAGTCCAAAGATTGAAGTCTACAAAAATATTCCAGAAATCCAAAGTTCTTAAAGCAAAAACACTCCAGAGTCCAAAAAATCTAACACAGAAAGGAAACAATCAAAGGGCAACCATTATAAGAAGCCACAGATTTTTCAGACTACACAACACTTACTCAGGCAGCTGTCTTAGAAGAACTAAACACCAAGCAAATAAACTTGGAGACAGCGCCACTTAAATACACACAGCTAAATGAGACACATGTGAACAGAATGACACTAATTACAAGTAGAGTAAGCTTAACAAGAGAGCACCATGAGGACCTCTAGAGGCCAAAACACAACAAAAGACAAAAATACTGACAATATCTCTGTCTTATATAACCAATCCTGATGTAGAGTTGTGTTTTGCATTAAGTTAAACGTGTACATTAATTTTTTTCAATAGGCCGTGTGTTGTGACGACTTCATCCACTGCTGTCCTCATGGTAAGAAATGTAATGTTGCTCTTGGGAAGTGTGAGGACTCTTCAGGATCTCAGCCTTGGTTCGAGAAGCTGCCTGTCAAACCGATCAGCAGTCAGAATGTGGCTGTTACACAAGGTAGATCAAAGCTCTGAATACAGCACACACAGACACTGTATAAAACTAGCATTTTATTTAACTGTTTATAAAATTTCTGGTGTCTTCAGTGCATTCAGATGTTCCCTGCAATGACACTGCGGCCTGTCCTGATGGAACAGAATAATAATTATTTTAAACTCTCTTTCTTCTGTGGAGCACAAAAGAAGATATTTTGATAAGATAACTCAATTTTCTCTATAGGCTGTGTGTTGTGATGACTTTGTCCACTGCTGTCCTCACGGTACGACATGTAACGTTGCTGCTGCGTCTTGTGACGAACTTTCAGGCTCTAAGCCTTGGTTCGAGAAGCTGCCTGTCAAACCGATCAGCAGTCAGAATGTGGCTGTTACACAAGGTAGATCAAAGCTCTGAATACAGCACACACAGACACGGTATAAAACTAGCATTTTATTTGTTCTTAAACTGTCTTTATCTTTTCTACTGTCTTCAATGCATTCAGATGTTTCCTGTGATGGCACCACATCTTGTCCTGATGGAACCACATGCTGTAAGACTCAAGAAGGAGGATGGGCCTGCTGTCCTCTGCCAGAGGTAAATCACCTGATCTATTAAAGGAATAATTCACAGAATAATAATTCTGTTAACCTTTCTTTCTTCTGTGGAACACAAAAGAAGATATTTTGATAAGATAACTCCATTTTCTCTATAGGCTGTGTGTTGTGATGACTTTGTCCACTGCTGTCCTCACGGTACGACATGTAACGTTGCTGCTGGGTCTTGTGACGAACCTTCAGGCTCTAAGCCTTGGTTCGAGAAGCTGCCTGCTCTCCCTAGAGCAGGTCAAAAGTCACCTGGGAATGTGAACTGCGACTCTAGTCACGTTTGTCCTGATTCCAACACTTGCTGTAAGAACATTGATGGAGACTGGGGCTGCTGTCCTTTGCCTGAGGTACAGTATATCTCAGAGGAGAAATCTAATCTTGCATGAGTAACCAAATGAGAAAATACACACTCTGTTTTCAACTTTGAATTTTATTACTCTTGGTGATATCCCTCAGTCCCTCTTTCACAATGATATTCTTCAAGTGCTCAGCAACATTTAATTGAGAAACCAAACTGTCGCAGACCTATTTTCAGAGAATTACCCTATAGCTTGAAAGTTTGGGGTCGGTAAGATTTTTTATTGCCTTTAAAAAAAGTATTTTACACTCACCAACGATGCCTCTGTTTGATAAAAAAAATACTATTGCGAAATATTAATACAATTTAAAATGGTTGTTTTTTTATTTTGAATTACTTTAAAAGGTAGTTTATTTCTGTGATGGCAAAGTCAGTGTCACATGATTCTTCAGAAATCATGCTAATATGCTGTGGTTTGTGATTTGGTGCTTTCTTATTATTTTCAATGTTGAAAACAGTTGTGCTGCTTAATATTTTTTTGTGGAATACATGATACATTTTTAAAGGATTCTTTGATGAGTAGAAAGTCCAAAAGAACAGCATTTATTTAAAACAGAATTTTTTTTGTAACAATATAATGTATTTATTGCACCTTTTGTTAAATTTGATGCATCTTTGCTGAATAAAATTTTATTTATTTAAAAAAAATCTTATTGACCCCAAACATTTGAATGGAAGTGCAAATAAGTTTATTTTTTTTCATAAGCACATCTTTTTTTAAAGCATAAACCTTAGTACATATATATTAGATTTATTAAAAACTCAATAAATAAAAAAAGAAAAAGAAGCTTTAATATTATATATATATTTTGCTACAAGTATGTTTATCTTGTTTAATGATATTTAAATGGACCCTCCCCCCCAAAAAAAAAATCCATTAAAAATGAATTTTGCAACCAAAAGGCACTAAGCTACTTTAGACTACTTTTATCACATACTAATAGTGTATATAACTAAAAGTCAGGTTGTTCTGTCTGCAGGCTGTGTGTTGTAAGGATCAATTCCACTGCTGTCCACACGGCACCACTTGTGACTTTGTAACACTGACCTGCACTAGCAACACCACATCTGTACCTATGACAGACATTAACCTACCCTCAGCTAAGGAGGAACATAGACAGCACAGGGAAGTGAAAGACAGAGTGGGGAAGTACAATAGCAGGGTTCCGTGTGATTCACAAACTTCCTGTCCAGATCACACTACTTGCTGTCTTGTTGCAAAAACCAACAAATGGGGCTGTTGCCCTCTACCTAATGTGAGTGTGACTCTGTTATATACAACACAGAGATGTTTATTTGTGCTAAACATCTTCTAAATTCTCACGCAAAGCCATGTTCTGCAGGTTGTTGTTTTACTAAACTACCTGTTTTTCTGGTTGTATCATCATGATATCGCATCTATTAAGAAGGCCCTTTGTTTTGAGCGTATATATAGTTCCAGGTACTTCCGTGTGTGTGCAACACAGATGCACAGTCCTCACTGACTCGAAAATAGATACAAAGTACAGTACTGTTTAAAAATTTGTGGTTGTTTTTTTTTTTTTTAAGAAATTAATACTTTTATTCAACAAGGATGCTTTAAGTTGATCAAAAGACATTTAACACAGTAAAGACATTTGAAATGTTACATAAAGGTTTGTATTTTAAATAAATGCTGTTCTTTGGAGCTCTAAGAATAATTTTTAAAAAAGCATGAATATCAGAAATATAAAGCAGCACAACATTTTCAACATTGATAATAAGAAGAAATGTTTCTCAAACATCAAATCAGCATATTAGAATGATTTCTAAAGGATCATGTGACACTGAGTAATGGCTGAAAATGAAAATTAATTTTGCCATCACAGAAATAAACTACATTACAAAACATCTATTTCAAATTGTAATAATATTTTACAATATTACATTTTACTGCATTTTGTTATCAAATAAACACTTTTTGGTGAGAATAAGAGACTTGAAACATGGAACATGAAAAAAAAACTTACTGACCACAAACATTTTTATATGGAAATAGGCTATACGTAATTTGTTTTGCAAATTTTAAAACACACAGAGCATGTTGTGAAGGTCAGATTGCCCATATGTTTTCAGCTTGAATCTTTTTCTCATTTTTTTCTCAGGCTGTATGTTGCACAGATGGGGAACACTGTTGTCCGGCTAACTATGAGTGTGATGTGACCAGGGTGTCTTGCATCAGGGGAGATGTGGTGATCCCCTGGTACAATAAAATTTCTGCTCAAAGCACACCGGCTCCAAGCTTGGATCTCGGAGCTGTTGAGTGCGACGAGCAGTCGAGTTGCTCTGCAGATTCCACCTGCTGCCATCTGTCCACGGGAGAATGGGGCTGCTGCCCTCTTCCTGAGGTAAGAATATGTGTATATGGACTGGCTACAGAAAATCTATTCACGTTCAAAAGATTTAATGCACCTCTTATATGCCATAGGCTGTTTGCTGCCCAGACCAGGAGCACTGCTGTCCCAAAGGCTACAGGTGTGACCTGCGTAGACGCTCCTGCATAAAAACCACTTGGCTACATGTGGAAATAGTCCCACTTGCCCACATTGATGACCAAAAGCCACAGTCGAGCGTCTCAGAAAAGGACATTCAGTGTGGAGGTGGATATAGTTGCAAAGATAGTGAGACCTGTTGTCCAACCTCCCAGACCACCTGGGGCTGTTGCCCATCTCCAAAGGTAATGCATTAAACCTTAAAAGTTTTTTTTAAAACCTTCACCCTTCAAAAAAAAATTTTTCCCATTTGCAAAGTTATTTTTGTATTATTTTAAGCATAAAACAAGAAGAAAAACACTTTAAAATAATTTTGAATCTTCAAAGGTAAAGTATTAAACCATCATTTACTCACCCCCACGTTGTTCCAAGGTTTCTTTCAGCTGTGGAAAACAAAAGGAGACATTTTGGTTCTATATTTTTTTGTCCATACAATAAAATCCATTGGGGTCTAATGTTGTTTTGAACACCATATGCACACAAACAGTTGAAACAGAATATATTTTTTTAATAGTACAGGTTTAATTGTACAAAATTCATTTGAAGAAGTTAAAGGTGGGGTAAGCGATTTCTGGTAGCCAATGTTGACATTTGAAATCACCAAAACAAACATGCCCCTACCCCAAAAAGGTCTCGCCTCTATTTTGATAGCTTCACCCCACACATACGTACGCAACCCAGGCAACGATTAGTTCTGTGAAACAAAGCAAAACCAATGTTACAAAACCAATGTGTCTACACCGGACGTGAATGGCGCGGCGCGACAAAATACTATAGAACTCATAATAATCAGTGATGCTGTCTACACCATAGATATATATATATACATATCTATGGTCTACACTGGATGCGGCGCAGCACGACACGACAAATCCCCGACAGAAAACTGCTGCTGCGTTCCATTCATGACGTATTGACACAAATTTCAAATGATTTTCAATGGTCGCTTTGTCGCGTCCAGTGTACTAGACAGACTTTAGCTGTCGCGTCCGGTGTAGACATGGTGTTACTTACCTATCGAGAAGAAACAAAGCAACCTCGGCGTCCGATCGCAGGCCTTCCGCTCCTTGAGTTCTCTCCAGCGCTAGAAAGCTGATCCGATATTTACACGGGTCCTACTTCTTGCCTTAAGCCTTCTTTCCTTCTTTTGTTCCGCAGACATTTTCCTCTTTTGTTTTTTTTCTGTCGCTCGGCTCGGCTAATGTCCGTCATGTGCACTGAGCGCTTTCTCCTCCACATCATGAGTAGACACGCCCCTTACTGCTGATTGGCTACAAGTTTGTTTTGCTAGTCGGCCCGAATCAGTTTTCTAAAGTGTTTTTGGAAAATCGCTTACCCTACCTTTAATGGGTTAAAGATGTCAATTTAGAGTTCCAGTGCATAATAGTTGGATGGAAGAATGAATTTCCTTTGAATATATTCATGGAAATGAGCACACTGTCTTGCGATTTCAGTTCTATTGACTTTTCTGTCAATTCAAATGCAGGTCAAGCTGTAAATGTTTATCTATTCTTGTCCTTGCACGTTCTCTTACTCCTTTCTTTCCTTTGTTATCTCTCTCTCTAAAGGCCGAGTGCTGTGATGATATGAAACACTGCTGCCCTGCTGGATACAAATGTGGCGCGGGTGGAACTTGTACTTCAGCCGTAGACTTTGACTGGGACAACTGGGACAACTGGAGGGTGTTCTTCTCCAAAAATAAACGAGCTATTACTCTGTAAAAAAACAACAACAACAAAAACACAAACACCTGGGTTATTCCCACTCAGTCGCTTAAATGGCCAACACTCCCTAAAGTGTCAGATTTATAAAAATTATACATTTGATCAAAGTACTAATTAAAGCTAATCAGACAGTTCACTGCAAAAGGTTGATTTTATTTGCTGTTTCATTAGGGCTGACTATGATGGTTAATATCTGTTTCCATTGTCTATCAGTAATACCAACTAATCTTATCCACTGAGCCATTTGTACATTTTAAGAATGGGTCATTATTGTAAAGTGTACATTGTTCATAGTTGTGCATAGTTTCCAGTGTTTTGGTTACTGCTCAGTTTTATCTGAAGAATAATTTGACTATGGAATGGTGGAAAGATGTAACACATATTGAAGCATAGATGACCTCTAGTGGCTGGATTTAATTCATTAAAACGTGGCATGTACAAATACCACAGGCCTCAAAGGTTTACAGGTTACATTTTATCAGACTTGACATCACACAGTCTTGGGATTATGACCGCATTGCCCTGGATAAGGAAACATATTAAATTAATCTTTTCGGATAACAAACATCACCTTTTCTGTGTAACTTCCTTATTGCAGGTCTTGATCTTTACCATGATTTGTATAATTGTCTTTTTTTATTGATTTAAATGCTGGTTATATTGATTGAGCATTGTGACAGATGACAAAAAGTTTTCTGAAGTAAAAACGTGACCAATCTGAAACCTTGTCAGCTCTAAAAGAGAAATAAAAGCGAGATAAAAGGAAATCGTATTGTCTATTGTACCTTCTTTTCTCTTTCAAATGTATCCAAATTAAAATTCAATATTCATTATTTAAAATTTATATAAATTTATTACAATAGTTAAAAAATTATATGTATTTTTTATTTTATTAAAATATATAATAATTACAAATATGAAAGAAAATACCATGTCCATTTTTATTTCAAAATCAAGGTTGTAGGTTAAAATTAAGGTAGAAATTGTAGGTGCTGTGACTGATCAACCAGTTTTTCACAATTTATTTCATGTTTCAGGTCACCTTTTGTGGGGAATGTAATTTTTTTAAGTAAAAACAAATCATCATTTAGTCTTTCATACACTTTGTCTTTAAAAACAGCTTGTAGGCTATAATTTTCTGGGTAATTAGAGAAGGAAAGAAAGAAAGAAAGAAAGAACAGACCAGCCTAAGCTTATTTGTTTGTTTCTTACTTGGTTAGTTTCTTACCTGGTTAGAGACAAGCAAAGACCAGTTAACCAGAATTTAGAGACAAGCTAAGACCAGTACACCAGAATTAAGGTTGATTCCTTTGCACAGTAATAAGAAAGAATCCGGAAAATGCAGAAAATTGAGAGTTAAAAAAAAAAACTGGAAGGACAGCAACTATAGCAGGCAGAGGGCAGCAGAACTCCCATATAACTGACCAAAGAACCCTTCAACTGTTGCTGCAGTTGGGATCTACCAAATCAACCTAAGGTGCGTTTCCCAAAGGCAACTATTGTCGCAAGTTTATTTGTTACCAATATAGTTCAATGGAACTCGCGACCATAGTTAGCACAGTCATTCTTGAGATGTGGGACAAAACAGGTCCAGCAATGGTAACTGCTATTAGCTTTAAAAAATAAAAATATTTTCAATTTTAAATGTCATGAGGGATTAATAATAGAATGTATTTAACACAATTATCACCTTCAATTTAATTTTCTTGTTTTGTCCCACTTCTCAAGAATGACTGAGCAAACAATGCTTTTGGAAAACGCACCCCTGGTCGATGGTGCCATGATGATGGCAGTAATAAAAATCTCTGCTGGGTCAGAACAGTCAAAGGTGTGTTTGGCACGCAGTCCAACCCACTGACACTTAGGGCGTTGCATTAAAACAAACACACAGAGAATGGAAGGAAGAGTAAATATGGACAGAAACGCTCAACACACTGTAGAGCCCTCGATTTACTTGTGCGGTTATCTGACGTCATGACGCACTGACGTAAATATCCTGCCCACGCATTCGTTGATACATAGAACATATTGGTAGAACGGCACGTTCGTTGGAACTCTGGTGCGTTGTTGGTTCCATATTACCTCAAGATCTCAGTCGCTTCGATTACGTTGCAATGTTTTGTGAAGACGTAAGTGTTACACTGCGCTGCACCTGCTAAAGCAGCAGCTGCGTATATTCTGAATTCACGTTCAACAGCTGCGCATCAATTAAGTTGGTCGAGGTTGTTCTCGGTTAAAGGACAGCCAGGCTGTCTTCCTCAACTATCAATCACATGTCGACGGAGGATCTGTCCACTTCCGACAGCGAAGCTGCCTTCGCGGGAGCCGGGGAGCGCTGGGCGCCGGTGGGAGCCGTGGCCAACCCGGAGGATGAGCAGTGGAAGCGGGGCACGCAGGCTGGCTCTGTGTCGTCCAGCGATGCAGACCTGGTATCCAGGCTGAGGAAGCTGGAGGATGAGCAGGAGCAGCTGAACTCGTCGCTCCTCGCGTTAACGTCTCACTTCGCTCAAGTGCAGTTTCGGCTGAAACAGATCGTCCATGCGCAGAGCGACGAGAAAGAGAGGATGCTGCTGGAGCTGGAGGAGTTTGCCTTCAAAGGATGCCCTCATGTCATAGGCTGCAGGGCACATGATGCTCAGATGCTAGAAAACTCTGTGAGTTCCGTTGTTTTCTGTCGTAGTGATCTCTACCCTGCAGGGAAAAAAAGCATAGTAAACCAAACCAAGATCTCCTAAAACCCAAGACCTGGTCTCTCAGTCTGGTCAGAGTCAGACTAGTCTTTTGGAGGGGGTTGGGTGCTGTGAAACCAGCTGGCAATCTAGTTAAATACCAGCTTGGCCAGGCTGGAGGTCCAGCTAGACCAGTTTAAGTTAGCTAAGACCAGCAAAAACAGGCTTAGGTTTTTTTCCCCCCCAGCAGGGATGGAAACATCTGAGGTGATGCAATTTATTCACCAAATCTCAAATATGACTCAAAACAAGTGCTTTGTAGGAGAATGGCATGAAACCGTCTCAATTACATGTGATTTACATCAGGGCTTTTCAATATTTTAGACACCACAGGCCCCAAATATGACCATCCTCATGTGAGGGACCCCATCCTATAATTTAGAAGACATTACATAGTTATTTTATACAAAGACCCAAATTACACTGTGGACAAATTATTATTTGGAAAATATTTACACTCTGTTGAGTTACATTATTACTTTTTTTCTACTCATTATAGCACTGTACTGTTAGTATTATTTATTTGCTTATTTTGGTCAAATTTTTTATTCTATTTAATTTTTATTTATTTATAGTAATCTTATTTTTATTGTATATTATTATTTAATTTGAAAAAAAAAATGTTTTTTTACATTTTAACACTGTCTTTCTAAACTTTTCATTGGACCCCAATTTGAAAACCTCTGATCTACAGTGTCATCAGTGTTGTTTTGTTTTCAGTAAGTCTTCTTCAATAGTCCGCAACAGTTCCTGTAACAATATGCACCCGTGATACACCCACCCATAATTACACACACCCCTTTCATTCACACATGATCAGCCTATACAATATCCCTGTGATGCCCTCAGGAATCAGCATTCAATTTGTCTGCATCTCTTTTGTTTAAAGGATTGTTTCTGTGTCATTCAAGCAACTAATCAACATAGTATTGACATAAAAATCACTTTAAACCATATACAAGGAGGTCACTTAGTTTTTCCCCGTGTTTCTTCCTGCTGGAGCATCTTGTTACTGCCATTTAAAATGCATTCCTTTCTTCTTATTTCCTCCTCTGCACTCTTTGCTTGCAGGATGAATTGGTGAGTACTATGAACATGTGTAACGTGAACTTGTGCAGTCTTTCTTTAAACTTCAGTGTTTACTTTAAGTATTCCTGATATTATTGAGTTCATACTTGATTTGGTTTTGTTCGGTCTCTTTTTCTTTTTATATTAATCAGTTACATTTTTGTTACCAGAGGCTTAAATGTAAATGTAAAATAGTTAAACTATAACTGTGTGTATAGCAATTCTGAATTGCTTTGCATTGGATAAGCAAAGCTAAACCAAATGAAGCAAACTAATTAAAAGCTCATTATCCTTCACCAGAGCATATGCAAAAATGTTCAGCTAGCTGCAATGTAAACATTGGATATTTTTAAGTTTGGCTTTAGGTTTTTAAAGTTTCTTTGACTCTGTGTTTGTGTTTTTATAATATGCAGAGTGAAAGAGAGAAGAGGGAACGCTTGGAAACTCAGAGAAAGAAGCAGAAGGAGCTGATTTTCCAGCTGAAGACTCAGCTCGACGACCTGGAACGCTTCGCCTACCAGGAGGGCAGCTATGACTCACTGCCTCAGTCTGTGGTCATGGAGAGACAGAGGGTCCGTCTGATAATACGCTCTCATGCTGTTGACATCATTCTGAAAGTCATTTGAAGATGTATTGGTCTAAGTAATTACCCTTAAAACCATGTTGGGGTATTTTATTTAGTGTCTGTCCACCTCAATACTGTAGGTGATCATTGATGAGCTGATTAAGAAGCTGGATGTGAATCTGAATGAAGACATTGGGAACCTCACTCCAGAGGAGCTCCGACAGAGAGTGGACGCCGCTATAGCTCAGATAGTCAACCCGGCTCGAGTCAAAGAGCAGCTGGTTGAGCAGCTCAAGACACAAATCAGAGACCTGGAGATGTTCATTAACTTCATACAGGGTGAGGAGGTCTGCTTATGGGTCAATGTTGTGATGCTCATTTTTGTCATATTTAGTCAAATACACATTAACATTCAAAAGTTTGGAGTCTGTAAGATTTTTGATGTTTTTTTGTTTTGTTTTGTTTTTAAGTCTTATTCTCACCAAGGCTGCATTTATTTGATCAAATACAGTAAATGTGATGTTATTGCAATTTAACAATTACTGTTTTTTTAAATTACATTTTAAAACAGATGCATTTTTTCAGGGTTCTTTATTAAATAGTGAGTTTTTTTTGCTCAATTTAATGCATCTTTGCTAAATTAAAATATCATATATCAATAATAATAATTTAAAAAATCTTACTAACCCCAAACCTTTGAACAGTAGTGAATATCATTAAGCTTTATGCCACTATCTGCAGAGCCCACTGCACTGGTTTCCTGTGCTTTAAGTTTGATGTGGCTATTTGGAGCAACATAAATACAATTAGATTACCATCCTGATCTTGCTCCTCTCAGATGAAGTGGGGAACCCTCTGTTAAATGATGGTGTGAAGAGCCAGCAGGCCCATGCTGCCGGACCAAACACTGGAGCCACTGGAGGGATGAAGCGAGGTAATTATACTTCACTTCATAATACTTTTATATTTGCTTTTCAGCTCAGACGTGTAACTTTAAATCCCTTCTCTCTGTCCAAAGTGGATCCCGAACAGGCCCAGAGGATGCGGGAAACCGGGCTTCAGTTGATCCAGAAAGCCTTAGCGGTGCTGCAGATCTTTGCTCTGAGTCAGTTCGGATGCGCCGCGGGTCACGTGCCCCAGAACGTGTGGTCTCAGGGTGGCGAGGCTCAAGATTACAGCCCCCTGCTCCAGAAACTCGAAGGAGCCGTGGAGCGTGTTCGTCTGCAAGCCTCCCGCCAGCAACCCAGCTCTCAGGACGAACATGTGGTCAGCTACTCTGCCTGCCTGACGCCTGGAGGACCTCGGGACGAACTCACCGCTTCTGTGCGTAAAGAACTGGCCTTGGCGCTCCGGGACCTGCTGGCCCACGGACTGTACGCTCCTTCTCAAGGCATGAGCCTGGTCCTCGCCCCCATTTCCTGCCTGCTGCCCTTCAGCTCTTCTCCCCAGACCCTGCATCCCTGGGAACTTTTCATCAAGTACTATCATTCCAAAAACGGCCAGGCTTTTGTGGAATCGCCCGCCCGCCAGCTCTCTCAATCCTTCAGTTTACCTGTAGGGGGCGGTCCTGTGACGGTCACACCCAAGCAGTCTCTGTTATGGGCCATCCATACGGTTCTTAAAGAGCATGGGCGATTCAAGCGCAGCGCGGACTCTGAGTTTAAGGCCTTGTTGTGCATGGCGCTCAATGAGCAGAGGCTTGTGTCGTGGCTCAACCTGCTGTGTAAGTCTGGGACGCTCATCCACTCACACTACCAGCCCTGGAGCTACATGGCCCAGACGGGCTTTGAAGGTGCCCTGCGTATCTTGGGCCGCCTCAGCCATCTCACATTCAGCCTTCCTGTAGATTTGGCTGTCAGGCAGCTTAAAAATATCAAAGATGCTTTCTAAGCAAAATAAATATATGGGAATTTTGATGGGTTGAGAAAAAAGGGGAACCCTCCCAACCTTCATATTTAGATTACCATCCTGATCTTGCTCCTCTCAGATGAAGTGGGGAACCCTCTGTTAAATGATGGTGTGAAGAGCCAGCAGGCCCATGCTGCCGGACCAAACACTGGAGCCACTGGAGGGATGAAGCGAGGTAATTATACTTCACTTCATAATACCTTTTTTATTGGAATTTACAGTTAAGACTTGAAACTTTAAATCCCTTCTCTCTGTCCAAAGTGGATCCCGAACAGGCCCAGAGGATGCGGGAAACCGGGCTTCAGCTGATCCAGAAAGCCTTAGCGGTGCTGCAGATCTTTGCACTGAGTCAGTTCGGTTGCGCCGCGGGCCACGTGCCCCGGAACGTGTGTTCTCAGGGTGGCGAGTCTCAAGATTACGGCCCCCTGCTGCAGAAACTTGAAGGAGCCGTGGAGTGCGTACGTCTGCAAGCCTCCCGCCAGCAGCCCAACTCTCAGGAGGAACACGTGGTCAGCTACTCTGCCTGCCTGTCGCCTGGAGGACCTTGGGAGGAACTTACCGCTTCTGTGCGTAAAGAACTGGCCTTGGCGCTCCGGGACCTGCTGGCCCACGGACTGTACGCTCCTTCCCAGGGTATGAGCCTGGTCCTTGCCCCCATTTCCTGCCTGCTGCCCTTCAGCTCTTCTCCCCAGACCCTGCATCCCTGGGAACTTTTCGTCAAGTACTATCATTCCAAAAACGGCCAGGCGTTTGTGGAATCGCCCGCTCGGCAGCTCTCTCAATCCTTCAGTTTGCCTGTAGGGGGCGGTCCTGTGACGGTCACACCCAAGCAGTCTCTGTTATGGGCCATCCATACAGTTCTCAAAGAGCATGGACGATTCAAGCGTAGTGCGGACTCTGAGTTTAAGGCCTTAGTGTGCATGGCGCTCAATGAGCAGAGGCTTGTGTCCTGGCTCAACCTGCTGTGTAAGTCTGGGATGCTCATCCACTCACACTACCAGCCCTGGAGCTACATGGCCCAAACGGGCTTTGAAGGTGCCCTGCGCATCCTGGGCTGCCTCAGCCATCTCAAATTCAGCCTTCCTGTAGATTTGGCTGTCAGGCAGCTTAAAAATATCAAAGATGCTTTCTAAGCAAAATAAATATATGGGAATTTTGATGGGTTGAGAAAAAAGGGGAACCCTCCCAACCTTCATAATCTTAAAAAAAAAAAAAATAACACCGTTTACACTAATATAAATAACACTAACAACATTATATATGACATGAATTTAAATCAATTTAAAAGATGCTTCCAGATCAACAAGTACACTGGAATTAAAAAAATTGGAAATGAAGCAACTCGTGCACTTTCTTGAGACTCTAATGTTGCTGTTGGGTCTAATGCCTCTTGTCTCTAAACTGAAGAGGATGATGATGATTAATATGCTGCATTTGTCACAACACAAAGGAAATGTGCTCAGTTTAGTGACCCTGAGCGTGTAACTGCCTCTACATAACCTTTGAGGGGATTTGTTATGTTAAGCTTTTACCAAAATCAACCACTATGTAGAAGAATGAGTTGTTACTTGAAATCTTTTCAAGGGCCATTGCAAATGTTTGAGATGCACTACAGTATCTATATAACATATTCTATATACACACACACACAGAGACAGACAGTTACAAAATAGTGACTAGTGACTTAATGGTTTAATTCCTTTTTTTGTTCTAAATTTATGTAGCCAAATGCACTCATTTTCTGAGCTTGTACTACATTATTGTGCAGTGGTTCACAGACAAATCATAAGATGTTTTAATTTAAGATTGGATTCCATTTGCATTATTAAGGGTCATTGCATTTCAAACAGTGTATTGCTTTCTGAGGAGATCATGCATGCTGGTGAGACCTCACTTAGGTCAAGCAACACACTCAGGTCATTCTGAACAAACAAAGAGTTGTTCATTGGTGTTTGTAAATCATTGGAAAACCACTTCTGTCCCTAACTCCTTTCCACAGCCTGGCCCTTCCAACCAGGTGACACCTTAAAAATTATTGTAGAAAACTGCATCTTGTGGCCGTGCTGCCCGCTCGCTGCTACCGGAGGAAATGCACAGCAAGTGAACTGAATGAAATGAGGTCATTCAGCACATTTGCTGAATATGAGTCTGATATGCTGTGCATTGGCACTGACTGAATTATTTATGGCCTGTTATGTGATGCCAGCGTTCAGAGGCTCTGCTTGAATACCTGCTGTTTCTGTGTCTTGTCAATCCTTGTTTACTGCTCTGAAATATTGAATGTACAATCCTTGGAATTGTATCCTGCTACTGTACCCGATCTGATTCCAGATTCCTTAAACCACTCTGAATACTGATTTACTGAAACTTTCATCAAGTAAGAAGGGACTGTTTGTTATCCCACATCATGGAAATGGATTCTGTATTCAGTGTATTTCTCTGCACCCTTATGGAATATGGAGGAATGGTTGTGATGCATTTATTAGGGCTGCTCAGCTAGCCCTTATTTAATGTAGTCTCAACCCCCCTGCTTTCCCCTTTTTATATATATATAGTAGTATATCAGCCTGAATACATGCTTGGCCTATTTTGATGTCCGTTTGTTTTGTCCTATCAAATGTATTTAAGAAATTATTATTGTCTTTGTACCTCTTCTTAGAAACAAATAGACTATCAATTATTTCAATAGTGATTTCAAATCGGTGTCAATTACATTCCCTTTTATAAAATTTGTGCCATCATTTTTGGATGTAATGATGGTCTCTTTTCAGTGATTTCATGGATTAAATGTTCTGAATGCTCTATGAATCTGATGCAGTCACATTTTCTCACTTCTCATCAGCTCTCTGATGCTTTAGACAATGTAATTTAATGAATATATTTATATTAGTAGTAATTATGGTAATAGTACAGTACAATACAGTACAGTACAGTACATACAATAATTAAAGTTTCTTGAAAATAATATGATGGGCTTTTGTTGTGCATTGAGAAACGCTTTATTACGTGTTTTTTTCGTTGAAGTTGTCCAAATTGAAACTAAATCACAGAATGTCTTTTCCTGTCATTTTAAATCAACATCTTCGCACAAACCGAAAGGAAGGCATTTCTTAAATTTTTGCCCAAACCTGAGTACACCGCATATGTGAAACTTACACTTACTTACACGTGTTGCTTACTTTTTTGTACAAAATGTACAAGAGCAGGGAAATGAGGAGACATTCTATTTTTTAATAGATGGATGGATGGATGGATATAGATATAGAGATATAGATATTTATAGATATTAAACACTTGCTTAGGAAACACAAATGTGAAAAAACATAGGCCAAGGAAAAAAGCCAGGGGTTCGAGGATGGCCAAACAATATAGCAATTAAAATTCAAGAGAGAGAGAGATACATAAAAATAAGTAAATAAATTAGAAAAATAAAATAAATAAGCAGATCACATAACAATATACATAACAATCTTTCCTAACAACATTGCTCAAAAAAAGTTGCCCCGTGTACCATCAGCATAACACTTGCTTTCTAATGACGCAAGTCCTCTTATGATCACCAAGGCTACATTTATTTGATCAAAAACAATGGCAATATTGTGAAATACTGCTAAAATTTAAAAAAAATTGTTTCCTATAGTAGTAAGTTTTAAAATGTAATTTATTCCTAAGATGGTCAATTAGAATTTTCAGCATCATTACCTACAGTCTTCAGTGTCACATGATTTTTTTTCAGAAATCAATTGCTGCTCAAGAAATATTTCATATTGTCAATTTTAGAAATAGTTGTGCTGACATTTTGTTTTGGAATTCTTCGATGAATGGAAAGTAAACTGCATTTATTTGAAACTGAAAGTGTCTTTATTGTGATTTGATCACTTGAATGAGAACATGAAGAATAAAAGCACTTTGCTTTCCAAAGAAAGCCCACAGTCACATAGTTTTGTTGATGTGGTGCTTTCATGATGCATCTTAAGCCATTGCAAATACCTCTAATAAATGCTTATTGGTTGTACCTATCCACCTTATTCTTCAATGCAGAAGTTAGCCTATGGGCGAGACTTACGGTTCATTAGCTGCTGTAGGGAAATAATGAGAAGAATTACAAAGTGCAGCAAACGGTAAAACTGTTTGCGCTACAAGCCAGTGTGTTCATAAGATAAGACATTAAAATAATATGGTAAGACACACCCGTTTGCAATATCAAGCAGCTTATAGACCAATTATAGGTTTGCAAACATTCATGATGCGCTCTCATCATGGTTGCAGAAAACCCGGGAGAGATAGCCTTTACGGCTAAGGTAAGACACACCAATTTGCAGTATCAAGCAGCATAACGAGCTGTTTTGTGAAGCTAAAAAATCTGATTATAGCAATGTGGATGTTTGCATGAGTTCTGCAGTTCGGTGCTCTAGTAAAGTCCAGTCATGTCATGTTTATTTATATAGTACTTTATGCAATAGATAACTTTAAACCAAGCAGCTTTACGGTATTAAACATGAAAAACCAGAGTTGGTGTCACTTTCAGTTAGAACTGCAACTTGATTTTCTGTTATAAAGCAGCTCTCCAATGTGGAGCTAGCTAATGATAAAATCTTTTCATTAGTGGGGAAAAAATTTCATTAAATTGATAGTTTGGTTTGCAGAGATCAAAGCTTGATCTAGCTCAGGACTGTTTTGATTATCATAACCATATAAGGTATTTTAAGAGAGACTGTTGTGAATAAAATGATCCGAAAATAAAACGTCTTATCACTTAACCTTTATTTTGTTTCTTATCCATATGACTTACAAAAGGAGATGTTAGGCAGAATGAGAGTTTCTCTGTCTCTCATCTCATTTTGTGTGCCACATATGTTTATCAAATGTACTTATTTGCGTAATAATTGTAATTACATAATATGATTTTCAAAAGCTGAAGCGATTACCTTTATTTATTTGTTAGAATATAAATAACTCAGTATTCTCAGTATTTGCAAAAGCTGGGTAATCAAAGTCTGCTGATTCAATCATGTACATTTGTCTAATTAATGTAATTAATGTATCCAGATACTCTGTTGACATTCCTCTGGACAAAACTGTTGTCAACAAGGATGTTTTCAGGGATCCTGCTCTGAAGCGCAAAGCCAGGAGAGAGGCCAAGGTTAAGTTTGAGGAGAGGTATGTTTTTGTCACCAGATCTCAACTACTTAATTTTACAATTAAATTGTATGTTATTGATTAATGCTTACATGTTATGTTAAGAGCTAGATTAAAACTTTATTTTAGTGTAGTCCTAAATTTAGTGAAGTCCTAAATTTGATGCAGAAAAAAAGTGTGTTGTGGCAAGTTTACTCAGTCTTGCTGACTTTAGCTTCTGTTCAGAGATGACTGTAGGAACAGTTTGATCTTGTTGGGCACTGGACATTGTTTTCTTTGATACATTCAATATGATAAGCATGTATTGTCCTACATGTGGTGATACATTGATGATAGTGAATGTTTTCTTTTATAGGTACAAGACGGGCAAGAACAAATGGTTCTTCCAGAAGCTCCGGTTCTAAGTTTTCATTGGTTTCACAAATAAATCTGTAAAAATTTCACAAAGTGGTCCTTGCCTTATTTCTGTTGGTTTTGGATTCTTATCTTGTATTATTACTTGAGTCATGATACTAGTTTTTGAATTGGTTGCATATATTGCTTGATGTGTTTCTAATTTCTCATTATTGTCATCAAAACAATGTTCTTAAGGGTGTTTAGGGTCTTCTGTCTGGTTTGAAGTAACTGTTCGCATTGTGTCATCATTCAGAGTGTTGCATCACGTAAAATATTTGTGAACAACATTAACAACTGTAATAACACGCTGCATAACAAATAGCCAAGTGGTAATGCAGTGGTTTTCTACATGACAAGTAAAAAATTATTTTGTCAAAGCAAGTTATCCAGGTCCAAAAATATATTTTAAACTTATTCTGAATTGCCAGTTTGGAAAACTGTATATTTAGTTTATACCTAACCCTATTTTAGATGACCTTGGTCAAGGACCTTGGTCTTGGATGGCATTGGTCTCCTTGGAAAAAACCTGAAGTGGGGTGCCAAATTTCATAAGAATTTATGGGAGATACGGAAAGGCAAAAAAAAAAAAAACATTCAAAGAAAACGTTTTGTTTTGCCAACAAAATAGTGTATTAAAGAAGCAATCAATCTCTCAGTTTGGTAAAGTTCCTCATGTTTGTGGATACTGGAAGGAGTAACTTGCATATATTTTCCCTCGCAACCTTAATCATTGGAATGTATAACAATGCCGTTGTTTCTACAGTCCATTATAGGATATAACATATGTTAATAGCTTTATTAAGAAACTATTATGTAACTTCTTATGTAACTCCTTTTTTTAGAAGTCATATATATATATATATATATCATATATCATGGCTCTATGGTACGCTGTCTTATAGACCAATTATAGGTTTGCAAACATTCATGATGCGCTCTCATCATGGTTGCAGAAAACCCGGGAGAGATAGCCTTTACGGCTAGAGAATTTCACGGATAGGGTACAAAATAGTTAGGTTTAAAAAGATTATAAATTATATTGATTAGATGTCATTTTCAAAATGTTCTCCGCTTATTACAAGAGCTTGTCACCCAGCGATAAGCATTGTTATTCAACGAAATTGACGTTAGAGCGTGCGATAGTCTTACAGATCCGAAACAGGGATGACGTTTTTTTGTGGGCGGAGCCTATCTGGAGGCAGAAAATGACAATTTTCAAGCGGCAGTCTATGGAGCCATGGAATAAAAAAAGGTAAATTTGATTTTATATTTCAAAATTATGACTTTATTCTCGCAATTCCGAGATTATATCTCACAATTCTAATAAGGAAAAACAACTCGTCATTCTCTCTTTTCCCCTCAGATTTGACAAACTCACTATTTTTGAGTTAAATCGAGGTATAAAGTCCGAATTAGGAGATATAAACTTGCATTTGCAAGAAAAA